AAGCTGGGGTCACGAGGCATTTCCAGGGGCGTGGGAGCCAAGCGTCAGCCTCACCACCTCCTCCGCCCCTCCTGGCTTCTCCACCTCCTGTCCCTTCACAGGCATCTGTGCTTGCTCAAGAGAGGACGGGCCGCTGCCTGCACAGGTCCCAGATGCGGGCCCCGTCTGCACATTTGTCCTCAGCGGGAGATCAGACGTGGAAATTTACAGACTTATTTTTGTCAAGTTTCCAGCCAATGAAGGATATGAAGGATAAAATGTCCTTTCAGAAAACAGTTCCAAAACTCTGAAACATGCCTCTTGCTGAGCTGAATCATAAATGCAAACACTCAGCCCGGCACATGAGACTGGGAATCACCACCCGCCTGGACCCTCCGTGTGTGGACGCAGGCTGTGGGCCGGGCAAGTGGCTGACAACCGTTCAGGAGCGCGTCTCCCACAAGACTCCAAGGCACAGGATTGCACGGAGCCCACCCTCCAGGTGAGGGTGGCTGAGGGGCTCTGGCACACCTGTGTCTCCTGGCGCCAAGATCCCCAGCGAATCTGGGGGCGGTGTGAGTGGACACTGTCCTCGTGCAGCTGACGCGCCGGTGCACTTGCCAGGAAGAAAACTCACGGCCGAAACGCCGCCCACCTCCTCAGACCCTGGGAAACGCCGGCTTCTCCGAGGCCCGGGCACCTGGCGGGTGTCGGGAAACAGGAGAGGCCATTCCCATCCGGTAGCCGAGAACCCGGCCTCATCATCAGGGCCAGGGCGGGGGCTCCAGCTGTGGGTTGTAACTACTTTTCACTTTTTGCAGTAGATCCACAGTCATGGGAAGCTGTGAAACTGGGCCGGGGCAGGGCCGAGACATTCACGATCCGCGTGGAAAACGGCCCCAGGCCCGCCCGGCGATGCTGCTGCCGGTGAAGCCAGGCCTGCCGGGCCCGGCCTGATGCAGGTGTCTTCCCGGCTGCGGCCACTCCGGCTGTTCGGCTCAGCAGCGTGGAAAGCTGTGACCCACGGAGGGAGTTCAGGGGAGGGTGGAGATAATGAACTCATGCTGGAAAGGCCGCCCAGAACCAGCAGGAGCCATTTGGGAAATAAAACTCACAAATAAATAGGAAAAGCTTCTGCTGGAACTCCCATTTCCTAGCAAGAATTTCTCAAAGCGTTTCCAAAATGGAAATGCTTACGCAGAGCAGAAGCTTGGAAACCCCTTTTTAGAAACCCACACCTGACACCCTCTGCAGCTCTTGACGGAGCGGGCGCTGGAGCCGGCAGAGTGGGGGCCGCAGGGCGTTCTGAGACACACGCAGGGGCGGCAGCCAGACACAGGCCGGACCCGACCGACTGGCCCCGGGCGCCTCTGACTGCACCTTCTGCGTGCACCTCTGACCCGCGGTCCTCAAGCTCCTGCCTGGCCGTCACTCATCACACGGCGCCGACAGGGCACACGCTTCCCACAACAGACGCAAGACACACTGTCATCCGGTGGCTGACATGCAGCGCCGTGTCCAAGACCCTGCACCAGCAGCCGGGGGCAGGACCGGCCTGCCACAGACGCTGCCACGCCCCAACTTCTCTGGCCAGCAACCGGCTGGCCACAGTAGGGCCTTCTGCTTTTTAAATTTAAACTTTTAGCAATGACAGAAACCTGGGTCCCTCTAAAGCCAGCGCTGCCTTGCTGAAGCTCTCTGGGCCCTGTGGCTCACCCGCCCCAGGCTCTCCTCTGGCTGAAGCCCTTTGAGGCCTGTGGCCCACACAGGCTCTCCCCTGGTTGAAGCCCTCTGGGGCCCATGGCCCGCCTGCCCCAGGCTCTCCACTTTCCTGCTGCACAGGCCCGGACCTCCTCAGTCCTGAGCATGCCCTGGGACCTGGGCTGGGGCAGGCTAGTTAGCGGGAATTCACACACGTGTGCCCTGAATTTGAGAAACGACCTCCCTCACAACCAACTAACCGAAACAGAACTTCCCGTCGCCATCCCAGCTCCATCCTCCGCTCACAGTCTTTCTTCCTGAGGGGTCAGAGGTGTGGCCGTGCCAGGCGGGGGTGATTCTCCTTTCCCAGCATAGAGTGAGCCCATCCCTGGGACATGGGAGTCCAGCCCCTGCTCCCTGGTGGTGGCCCTCACCTGCTCTCTGCGCACAGCAGCAAACAGCCCTTCAAGCAAGTGCTTTGGCGGGGGGCCTGCAAGAGCCTGGAGGGGGGTCCTTTGTCTCCCCTCCCCTTCCCATCTCAAGAGGCCTGAAAATCCTCTCCATGGCAGAAGCGTTTGAATGCCAGACAAGCGAGGGGAGACATTTCTCCCTCCTCCTTTTCCTTGAGTGACAGGCTCTCAAGTTCCATGTTTGGGAAACTTGCTATGTCCGCTGCATGCACAGAACCTCCGATGCTGTCTTTTATGTGCAGTTGAAGATGGTTTTTGTGTGTAAACGTTTTTCCCTGCCCTGAGCACTGAATTTAGAGCAAACACTCACGTACACAGAGGGGTGACTACACAGCCTCTCCTTCATGAACTTTCCCTCCTGAGCCTCATGAATTCGAATCTGCACACATTCCTTAAGAGTTCTTGGCCAAGGTCAATGGACACCCCAAAGAAAGGCTACTGGGCCAGTGGAGGCAGGGTGTGGGGAGACCGTCCGATTCTGGGCCCTCGCCACCCCGACAGCCCTCCTGTTCCTCCAGCTCCGAGGAAGACGTGGACACCCTTCTACCAGGCCCCCCAGCAGGCAGAGGAATTCCAGGAAGCAGTCAGGGCAGGGTCAAGTGACCAGTCCCTTTTGTTTGGATTCCCCTCTCCTTTCCAAGCTTGGGTGGGTTGGTGTCTGAGCTCGGGTGGATTGGTATTGGGTTGGTATCTGAGCTCAGATGGGTGGCATCGAGTGGGAGCTCCCAGGAATCAATTTTGTATCCTGAGATGTCAGTTTGGAACAGGCTGTGATGGAAGAGCAGGCGCCTCCTCCAGGAAGCCTTCTTCCACACCTTGTAACACTGAGAGCCGGTGCCAACATCGGAACGGGCAATGTGCTTTTCAAATGGCCTCACAGACACAGACGTCAGGCCTCTGCTGCTCCACCATCCCCTTAGGGCCCCACCAGGGAGGACAGCGATTTTGGTGTCTCCTGCTGTTTCCTGGGCAAAGGTTGGCTGACTCTTGCTTTAGACACTGCCAGCCCCACCGGTCACAGACAGGGCACAGCATGGCCTCATCACAGAGGGGGACAAAACTTGGCCTTGTCAAAAGGTGGAGGGCAGAGAGAGGAGCAGACAGGCGGTGGGGGCAGTTCAGAGGCTGACGAGGGAGGAAAGCTGGGGTGAAGAAAAGAAGGAGAAATGATTTTAAAAGAGAGAAAGGAGGGAGGGGGAGGGAAGTGAGGAGGAAGGAGACAGAGGAGAGGAGCGGGGGGGAGGGGGAGACACCCTTTCCGGGAATGCTGCTTTATCTCCCGCCAATGTCAGGAAAGCGGATCATTCTGGGTTTTTCCACCACCCAGAATCCCGGCGCTCCTCACCTTGAAGGGTGAGGCGGGAAGCGACTCTGGGCGGAGCTGCCCCAGTGGTATTGCACAACCTTGGCAGGCTGCCAGTGTTTTTATGTAATCCTCCGGCTCTCCCCATAAAACAGACCATAACGCCTCGGCGAGCACGCTTCAACAGAGCCGTGTGCTGCCGCTGCACGCCGCCCTCCGGGGACGGATCCCGGCCGGTGGCTGGGTGAACCACTTTCCCCCTAGTGGCTCCCACTGAATCGGAAAGATCAGAGAAGCCACAGAGCTCACCAGAACAGCTCTATGGGAGTCAGGGATTCTGTGGGTGCTGAGAAGATGCCCAGGAAGTCAGGGTGCTCTGAGCCAGACAAAGCTGGGACAATAACTTGTCCTGGGGATTCACCTCCCCCATCACCCCACCCCAAGGCCTGTCTGCAGCCCACCCTCAAGGGAGGCTGTGGCTCCTTGAAGGAAATGCAAGACGACCCCCACGTCTTTGACCCCACACACAGCAGGCCAGACAGCCTGCAGATCCGGAGCCCCCGCCTGGCCCGTAACCCCAGCTCCCAGACACCTCCCACTCCAGCCTGTTATGGGCGCTTTCTGGAGGAGGTTTGCTGGGGCTGCCAATGGAGAAACCTGAATCATCAGCTCGGAACGGAAAGAAACGCCGGCTAGCGATGGAGACACGCACAAACTTTCTTCCTGCTTTCCAGCTCCACTCACAGAGCAGCCCTGGGGGCAGCTGCTCCTCTGGGAAAGTGTGGCCAGCAGAAAAGTGCCTGCTCCGGGCAGCTGCGGCCACTGGCCCTGACCTGTGGTGACATTGGTGCTGCCTCTCAGGCTGACCCATGTCCTCAGGGGATGAAACAGGCCCACCAGGAGCTGGAGGCTCTCACGGACTCTGGGGCTCCCAGGTGCCACCTCCTAGGTCCCCTGAGTCATGAGCCCCACCAGGCCCCGCTGAGTCCCCAGTGCCATCCCCCACGGGTCTCAGGTCTCAGCCTGCCGCTTCTTCCCCCACAACAACTTTCTAAGGAGGCCTCAGGCACCCCCAGGACAAGGGGTCAACTAGGCCAGGTGTCAAAGCATTTGAGGTGCTTTCGAGCCTCAGGGACAAAGGATACCGCACCAGCAGCCTCCCAAGGGCGGCGTCCCCACCCTTCTCTTTCCTCACCTTCAAGAGTTGAGGGGTAGGCGCAGCCTAAACCTGACACCCCCACTTCCGGAGCTCCAGGCCCGCCCCAACCCTGCACTCGCACCTAGGCACTGCCTGCTCCTGGAGCAGGTCCAAAGATCCCTGCAGAAGGTCTTTTGGGGAGTCAGTTTGGAGTCATCCTGGGGGGGCTTCTCAAGTCTCCACTGGAGGGGGCCTCCACAGCCCTTCCCTTTCCTGTCTGTCTCATGGATACCCTCCCACAGGGGCGCAGAGGGGCGCCCACACGAGTCCGGCCTGACCCATCACGCCGGGTGGTCGTGGCTGCGGCCTCTGTCCCGCCCCACGCCCCCACTCCGGGCGCCCCGCTCACCATTGAGCTGGTTGTAGACCACCTCCTCCAGGTGGTCCAGGCGCTGCAGGATGGCCTCGCGCTCCCCCAGCGCGCCCACCTTGGCGTGCCGGCTGCGCACCCGGCGGTCGGCGGCGCCCACGATGCGCACAAGCTCCCGGGAGCGGCCCTGCAGGCGGCAGTACACGGAGAACAGGACGATGCCCACGAACACCAGGATGTTGACCGTCAGCAAAGTTTTGATCCTCCTGGCCACCGCCATGAACGCAGCTGCGGGCGGGGGCGCCTCACCCGCGGGGCATCCCCGGCCTCCCAGCCCGACCTCGGCCTCGGGGACCCGGAGCCGCCCGGGCTGGGCGCGCGGGGCCGGGCCGGGCGCTGTCCCTTCAGCACCAGGAGCTGTCCCTTCAGCACCAGCTCGGCGCGCCCGGCCGCGGCCACCCGGGGTCCCCGCGCGCAGGGGGCTGCCCGGGGCTGGGGGCGCGGGGCGCGGCCGGCATCCCCCGCAGAGGGTCCCGCCCCGGGGGGTGCGGGGGGCGCGGGGGGCGGAGAGGGCGGCGCGAGCGGGCGGCGCTGGGTGGCTGTGCCGGCTCCTGCCCGCCCCGCAGCCACCGCGCCGGTGCGGAGTGACGCGGCCCGCGCTCGGCTCATCTGCATGCGCGCCCCGCCCGCCCCGGCCCCGCCCGCCCAGCGCCCCCCGGGACCGCCCCCCCGCGCGCCCGCGCCCCCGGGGACCCCGGCACGGCCGGTTCGGGGGTGCGGAGGGGGGAGCGCGCCGCAGGAGCTTGGGCCAAGGGCACGCGGGTGCGGGGAGGGGGCGGGGCTGGCGGGCGCGGACCCTCCCCCTTCCCCAGGACCCTCCCGACGCCCGGGGCTCCCGGAGGCCACAGGGTCCGAATCGACCTCAAGCTTGACCCGAAAGCGGGGCCTCCGGGGAATGCCCGGCCAGGGGTCAGGGCGGTGTCGGCCACGTGAATGTGGGAGGGGGTGGCTGGGCAGGGCCGGGGCAGAGCCGCTTTGGTGGTCTCCTGCCCACCCCTCCTAAGCCAAGCCCCCACTCCCGTCTCCAGGGCTCAGGACCGGGGAAGCTGAGTCCTAGGACAGGTGGGAGGCTTGGGATGCAGCGGGACCTCCCCAGACAGCACCAGGAGAGGGTAAGGCCCGTCCCTGAGCCAGGCTCTCAGGTAGGAGGCAAGGCCCGCAAACCCCGGCTGACCCCCCAGCCCAGGCTCTGAGCTGGCCCCACACTGGCGTTTTGTGGAGGAGACCCTAGAATCCAAGGGAGACGTCAGCCAAGCCACCGGGCACAGGGGCCGAACTTCCCACCCCCCTGCAGAATGCAAGCACCCAGAAGGCAGGCATTCCGCCTGAAAGGCAGGGTTCACCACTTGTTCCCAGATATCGGACATACAGTTGGTGCTCAGTAAATGTTTGTGGGGTAAGTAAATGACGGAGCATTTACTAAGAGCACGCCTGTGCTTGGCCTTCCGTGCAGAGATGAAGAAGCTCCTGGCTCTGTCCGTGTGTGTGCACGTGTGTGTGCACATGTGTGTGCATGTGTGTGTGCATGCATTTGCCTCTGTGTGCACCTGTGCATCTGTGTATGTGCACATCTGTGCTGTGTCAGCGTGCATGCACATGCATGTGTCTGTGTGTCCATGTAGTTGCATGTCTGTGTATCTGTGTCTCTGTGTGCATGTATCTGTGTTTGTGTGTCCATGTGTTTCAATGTCTGTGTATCTGTATTCATGTGTTTGTGTGTCTGTGTGTGCATGTGTCTCTGTGTCTGTGCATGTTTCTGTGTGTTCATGTGTCCATGTGTGTGCATGTGTGTCTGTGCATGTGTGTGCATGTCTGTGTGTCTGTGCATGTATCTGTGAGCATGTATCTGTGGGTGTTCATGTGTCCCTGTGTGTACGTGTCTGTGTATGTTTCTGTGTTCATGTGTGTCTGTATGTTCATATATGCGCATGTCTCTGTGTTCATGTGTGCATGGGTGTTTGTAGGTATACCTGTGTGTTCACGTCTGTGTATTTGTGTACATGTGTCTGTGACTGTGTTCATGTGTGTGCATCTGTGTGTTCATATTTCTGTGTGTTCATATGTACATGTGTCTCTGTGTGCATGTGCGTGACTGTATGTGTTTGTGTGTCTGTGTGTGCACATGTGTATGGGGGACCTGCGGGGTTCTGGCTCCGAGCTCAGTTTGCGTTTCTTGGCATCAGGCATGGCAGCCTCTCCAACTTGGAGGTTTTCTGCCCCTTGGCAGAGGCTGGGCGAGCTGAACACCCATTTCTCGTTTCTTTGTTGAGCTGTTCTTTTCTTCCTCAGGACGTTTATCTCAGGAAATCCAGAGGACCAGAACCAGGCAGGACCCGACACTGGGCCGGTGGCAGCTGTCTGCAGGGCGTGTACCGGACACATAACCTGCTCCGAGACAGAGCTGGGACCTGCTTTCACTCATCACTCCGGAGACGCTTGTGACGCAGCAAGCTTGATAAACCCTGGTCTGTTTTTGATCAATAGCCACTCCCGTGTCTCTCCTTAAAATGCCGTGTTTTTCTGTTTATAAAATGAAGGTTGTAAAATGTTTCCCGACATTACGAGGATAGCTACTGGAATCGTAATGCAGCTCGCTGGTGCAGGCATGGTGCCACAGTTTCGCAGGCACTAGCCTTCCGTGGCTATCTCCTGGTTAATACAGACAGCAGCTGCACTGAGCTGTAATGCAAGCTGGCGAGATCTCATTTTCCTTTTGGGGAAATTGAGGCACCCAGAGGGTACTGGCTTCTCAAGGTCACATCAATGGCAGAGCGTGGCTCCGGGATTCAAGCCCAGACAACTGGGCTCCAGAATCGACTGTATTAGCCACGGTCGCTCAAGAGAAAACATCAAGCACTTTTCATTAGATGTGTAATGAAAGGGATGTTAAACTGGTTTTGTAGAAAACATTTTATTCACGTAAATACATTTTACTGCATTCTAAAATCTAGCAGGAAAAGATGTGGCCTAACTACTGTCAAGATCTGGGTAAATTTCATTGGAAATACAAGTACATTGGACATGGGAAAAAACCCGGGTACTTTACGTGGAAGAGAATGCAGCCGATAGTCTGGCAAACTAGCATTTGCTTGATTTTTAGAATATACGGGAGGCCATGGCCTCCCCCTGGTAATTTCAGAAATTTGGGAGGCTGAGGCCAGTGGATTACTTGAGCCCAGGAGTTCAAGACTAGCCTGGCAATAGGGCAAAACCTCATCTCTACAAAAAAAAAAAAAAAATACAAAAAACTAGCCAGGCGTGGTGGTGTGCACCTGTAGTTCCAGCTACATGGCAGGGTGAGGTGGGAGGATCGCCTGAGCCTGGGGAGGTCCAGGCTGCAGTAAGCTGAGATCGCACCACTGCACTCCAGCCAGGGTGATAGACTGCGACCCCGTCTCAACAAACGAACAAACAAACAAGAAAAAAAAAAGAAAAAAAAATACATATATATATATATATTATATATATAATATATATATATATTATTATATACATATATATATATTATTATATATATAGTGAATGCTCAGTAAGTTGTAACATGTGAGGCAGTCCCGGGGTGTGGAGATGAACTCCCGTCCGAGAAGGCGCATGCACCCATGGGGGTGCAGTGACGAACCCTGTCCAAGAGGGCGCATGGGAGGGCACAACCATGGAATTTAAAATGAGCCCAGGGAGGGGAAGTGCTGGCTTTTCCCTGCCCATGAGGTTAAGCCCTTGGGAGGTTTAGCCTGGATTGTTTTGCACAGATCTGAACGGCACTCGCCCTGACTTGGACCTGGCCCTTTCCTGGAACCACAGATTGGAACTTAAGTCACTGAAGTGCTTTCTGGCCGCCTCATGGAGAGAAAGGCATGTTCTCACTCAGGCATCACCCCGGGAACACGGCATGCCATGTTTCAGCATCTTAGTGTCCCTTGAGCAGACAGGGTTATGCAGTGATGGCAAGCAACCCCCAAACCTCAACGGCACAAATGACACGGTGATTTCTCACAGGATTACGTATCCACTGGGGTCACCGGGGAGTTCTGTTGACCAGAGTCACTCAGAGCCCCCGGCAAGAGTGCAGTGATGGCCAGCTAAGAGGAGCGTTCGGGGTCCTCACGCTGTAAACGCCCCACTCCAAATCGACCCCCGCTGTGTCCAGCATCACCGGACAGAGACTGTCACACGGGCCCTGCGTGAACAGTGGGCTGGGAAGGGAGATCCTGCCCCAGGCTCAGAAGATGGGAGGACCGGGTCTTTGGGAGAATCAAGCTCTCTCCATCAGCACAGCAGCCTTCCAGCAAATCGGGATTTTATTCCAAACTCGCCCCACGCCCCCACGTGCTGGGCTCCCCAGAGTAGCAATGTATGGTGCACGTTAAATCAGACCCCAGTGCAACCGTTTCACAGAAGCTGGGACGAAAGCGAAACATGACTGGGTGCTGCGCATTTTGGTTTTGACAAGGGTGGATCTGGCCTCCGCGTCCCCCTCCTGGCCCAAGATCCTCTGGGCATGGAGGGCAGAAAAGGGGGGGGGCTCCCCCAGGAGACCTGCGTACGGGCCGATGTTTCGAGGGCCAAGTCTCCGCTGAGACTGGACCACAGACATCCACTGGCAGCTCCAGTTCAGGCCCAGGAGACAACGTGCGGGGAACTGACACCCCGGATTCTTCTTAAATAACTGAATCATTATTTGAACACTGGTCTGTTGGACTTTAAGGCCTGTGATTTTTCCAGCACACATACTGACACCTGAGGACGCAGACTTTCCTTGATTGAACTCAATAATACACTAACCCCTTCCCTCCCCCTCCCCTCCCCTCCTTTCCCCTCCCCCTTTCCCCTCCACTCCTGCATTTCTGTATTGGTTTAAAAAGTTATTTTAAATTCACAAATAATTGTATATATTATATGAGTTACAATGTGATGTTGATATACGTTTAAAATGTGGAATGATTAAATCAGGCAATTTTTTTTTTTCCGAAGAGTACCTTGGCTTCAGAGTTAACTTTAATTTTCATTCCGCTTTGCTTATAATACTTTGGCAAGACCAGTCCTTTGCAGCAAGGCCAGGATTTAAGCTCTGACCCATCAACGAGGAGGGCCTGGATCTGAGCCTGATTTTCCGGGCCCGTCTTCCTGTCCTGGGCTCTGGTGGCAGAGCAGACTGTTGGTGGCTTTAAAGAGATGTTTGTGGCCGTTTATTCATTACCCCCGGTGCCACCCTCACATGCCCCTGTGTGACAGCTGGCTTGGCCCACAGCCCATTAACTCCACAGCAGGGCACAGTGGGCATCCAGCAGGTGATGTGGGTTTGTAGTGTGCTGAAGATGAAGGGACACGGGACTGAAACCCAGCGGCCCAGGCACCACCCGCCTTCTCCAGGTAAAGAGGTAAGTCCAACAGGTGAAGAGGTGTGAGAAGTGGTGCCAGGGCAAGAATGTGTATGCGCTTGTGTGTGCATATGCATGTGTGCACGTGTGTATATGCATGTGTGCATGTGTATGTATATGCGTGTGTGTGCATGAGTGCTTGTGTATGTGTGTGTGCTTGTGTGTACATGCATGTGTGCTTGTGTGTGCATGTGTGCTTGCTTGTGTGTATATGCATGTGTGTGTGCTTGTGTGTATGTGCATGCGTGTGATGTGTGCTTGTGTGTGCATGTGTGTTAATGCATGTGTGCGTGTATGTATATACACTTGTGCATATGCTTGTGTGTGTGTAGGTGTGTGCTTGTGCATGTATGTGCACATGTGTGCCTGTGTGTATGAGCCTCTGTATGTGTGCACCTGCACATGGGCATATGTGTGCATGTTTGTGTGCAGGGCCCAGCCCCACAGGGTCTAGGGGGTGTTCGTTTGTGTGCAGAGACAATAGATAACAAGAAAGACACGAGACACAGAGATAAGAGAGGAATTCAGCTGGGCCCAGGGGACCACTGTTACCAAGGCGGAGTCCCGCAATGTCCCCGAATGCCTGAATGTGCTGATATTTACTGTATACAGGGCAGGGGGCCGGGTTAAGGAGAGTGAATCATCTGACATGATTGACAGGGACAGGCAAATCATGTGCTTACAGTGAAGGGTCCCTCCCTCAGGGAGCTGCTGCAAGGAGGGGAATCACATAGGTCAGCATCTTTCTATGTACTTATCAGACACAGCAAAGGCTTTTAGGATTCTTCTATTCTTCTCACGGTTTCTAAGAACTTAAAAGGAGCTCTGGGCGGGAAAGCAGCACAGGAAAGTGGACAAGGATGGTGACCATCGGAGCGCAGAACCACAGTGAGGCATTTAAGCCCCTGAACGTCTGCGGGCTGGCCTGGCTAATATCAGGCCTTCCTCAAGAGCTGGGCAGAGCAGAGTGTTCCCTAAACTCTCCAGTGAAAGGGAAACTCCCCTTGACGGGCTGCTAAGTAACGGGCGCCTCCCAGGCACTGGCGCTACCTCAAGGCTCTCACAGTCACCTCCTGATCACCTCTCAGTGTCCCTTCAGTTCTGAATTGTATTTCACCGGATTATGTCTGCACTATAAGGCTAAAATGAATCTATGCTATAATACTAAGCAAAGATGAATAAAGAATCATGATTTAATAGGATTATATACTTGATTAGGTGATTGTTTCTAAATATCTTTGGTATCATTGCTAAAACGAAGTGATCAGTGACTGATCACACTGGGACAACTTGTGCCTTCAGTGTCTTGCGGTGGCACCTGGACCACGGTCTTCCCACAAGTACGTGCATGTGTGTGCATGTGTGTGCATGCGTGTGCATGCGTGTGTGTGTGAGAGAGGGAGGGAGGGAGAGAGGGAGCGAAGCGGGAGAAAGAGAAAAAGGAGAGGGAGGAAGGAAGGACGGGTGCACGGGAGTTGTAGTGAAACAGAGTCTGGGGGCGTTTTCCGCCGCTCTCTCCCACAGCACCAAAGGGCTGAAGAGCCTGCGTTTCCTCGCTGCTGACATTGCGTTTATTTCGCGGGCCCTAACCCAGCGTTGTGATCCCTGTGGCAGCAGCTGTCAACAGCGTCAAACGCCCGTTCCCTGCTGGTCTCTTCTGTGGAACAAAAACCTCACCTGGGAGGCTTTTGGGTTTTGCCTTAATTTATCAAAAGTATATTTATCAAATATGTAGAGGGCATTCCCGGCATCTCCAGAGCACTGCGGGCGTCTGTGCAACACGTGTGGTGTGGGCGAGGAAACAGGCAGCCGGGCTCCCCGTGACTTGCCTGAGGCTGTGCAGTGACAGGAGGTGTGGCCTGGTTCCACCTGGGACGTCCGGCTGCCCCTTTAAGCTGGTCTCTGAGCTGCCTCTGCGGCCAGTGAACTATCCGAAAATAGATTCTTTTTTATCCTACAAAGGATTCATTTTTCCTGTTTCTTGCTGGCCCACGGTGTGGGTCACTTGCCCTTCATCGCAAGTGCTCAGGGTGGTGAACAATTCAGCCACCAGAACACTCAAACCACGGCCAACCAGTGGTTGGGAACAGCAGCAAGCACTCAGCACCGGGACGTACCGGTGGGCAGGCGCGGTGGGAGGGCTCGGCTCTGTGTCTGGGGTCCGGGACCCCGACTGGCAGCGGGGGCTGCAGGAAGCTGCTCTCCTCGGCTGGCTGGGCGCTCACACGTCTGAGGGTGGCGGCTGGCCTTGGTGGAGGCCTGAGCCTGGCAGTGGCTGGGCGGTGGGAATGCAGCACCAGCCTCTCCACGGGACCTGAGCCTCCTCGTAGCACGGCTGCCGGGTTCCACGCACCGGGAGAGACGGCCGGGCGGGAGCTGTGGCGCTCCTGGGCCTGGCCGTGTGTCTTGTCGGGAGGTGGGCCCGGTAAAACGGAGGCGCCGCGTGGCCGAAGCTTAGGTCACTCCTGCGGCAAGTCTTGTTCTCCACGTCAGCTCCTCAACGCCCCTCCTGGCGCAGCAGGTAACGTGGGCCCCGATAGACCACTGGCGTCCGTGTAGCAAGAGAGACATTTGGGTGCAGACACATGGACACACGGAGGGAGAGGGCCATGTGGAGACAGGGGCCAAGGCAGCCCGGTGGGGCTGGGAGGGTGTGGCCCGGCCTTGCCAGCTGAGGGCCTCGTCGGCAGGGCTGGAGACGGCGGCATGGCAGGCGCCAGGGTGAGTGGGTCTGCTCCAGCCGCGAAGCCACACCCAGCATAGCAGCTACAGCCAGAGGCCCCACTGGGCCAGCCTCAGGCGCCCACGGCTCCCCAGGACGAATCTGCCTTCGGCACAGGACAGATGGCAGAGCTGAATGGGGCTGGTGGGGGACTAGGGGGGGGATCGCCACCCCTGTGTCTTCCATGGGCCTGGTGGTGACCCGTGCTCTGTGGCCCCTCTGCCAAGTGATCTTGCTTTTGATTTACAGCTTTTTAAACAAAGGTAGAATCAGCTGTAATGTCTCCCAGCAGACACCTCCCTCCACCCCAGCCCCCACGCCGCAGGGCAGGGAGCAGACGTGGGGTCTGCCAGCTCTGAGCCTGTCTGTTCCAGTTGCCCACCCGGAGCTGGGAAATGACCCCGGGACACATCCAGCGACCGTGGGGCCTGTGATGTTGAATGTGAGCTGAAGCTGCCCCGCCACCCGCCCTCCCCAAGGCCCCCTCTCACTGGAGGGCCGAGGTGATGCTTTGGGGCTCCCAGAACCAATGTTAGGTCAGAGCCCAGGTCCCGGAGTCCCTGAAAGGTCTATTTCAGACCTGGTCACAGAGGCAGAAGCCACAGGTCCCATAGGGCAGGGCAGGGAGGAGGAGCGCCCAGGGCCCGTCCCGAGGGGGTCTGGGTGTGTAAACCGCCAGCATCTGAGAACCTGAGAACTGCCGGGGGGCCCAGGGTCTGGGCTGATGGCTCCATTAGACTTCGGTGCACCTAAAACCCTCTTGCTTATATAGATGCGGTAGAGATTTGGGGGCGTCCTCTCCCTCTTGTTTATATAGATGCGGTAGAGATTTGGGGGTGTCCTCTCCTTCTTGTTTATACAGATGAGGTAGAGATTTGGGGGTGTCCTCTCCCTGTTTATATAGTTGTAGAGATTTGGGGGCATCCTCTCCCTCTTGTTTATATAGATGAGGTAGAGATTTGGGGGCGTCCTCCGCCTCTTGTTTATATAGATGAGGTACAGATTTGGGGGTGTCCTCCCCCTCTTGTTTATATAGATGCGGTAGAGATTTGGGGGCATCCTCCCCCTCTTGTTTATACAGATGAGGTAGAGATTTGGGGGTGTCCTCTCCCTGTTTATATAGTTGTAGAGATTTGGGGGCGTCCTCCCCCTCTTGTTTATATAGATGAGGTAGAGATTTGGGGGCATCCTCTCCCTCTTGTTTATACAGATGAGGCAGAGATTTGGGGGTGTCCTCTCCCTGTTTATATAGTTGTAGAGATTTGGGGGCGTCCTCTCCCTCTTGTTTATATAGTTGAGGTAGAGATTTGGGGGCGTCCTCCCCCTCTTGTTTATACAGATGAGGTAGAGATTTGGAGGCGTCCTCTCCCTCTTGTTTATACAGATGAGGTAGAGATTTGGGGGTGTCCTCTCCCTCTTGTTTATATAGATGCGGTAGAGATTTGGGGGCATCCTCTCCGGTGGTGGGTTCCCGATGCTGTGGGTCCACACCGCCCCTCACCTTCGGCCTCACTCCTGGCAGCGTCTGTTGCTCACGGCCCACTGCCACTGAGACTACAACAGCCCCAGAAGGAACCACTCCTGGGTTCTCAGTTGGGCTGTTCCCAGCAGCATGATGAACCCTCGCAGTGCCAGGCTCTGTCCACCTGAGTTGGGCACCCTTCCATGCCCAGCGTCTCTGCACTGTGCACGCTGCC